CACAGTAATTACTCCTCGATGGTTTAATAATCACACAGGAAATACAGGACACTTATCGGTTAAAACTTTCTAGTGGATCACTGTTGTCAGTCTTTGATAAAAGAATTATTTCATAAGTAATTTCAACATAAAATAACAGATCATGATATCATAGTTTTCTGCCAGATTTGGACCTACACTTTCCAGTAATAGTGGTTTGCGCGTGTGCCTCGTTATGTAGAATGTCCTGCCATGTTGTGGTGCCATGTACTTTCATATTGCTACCGCCTCCGTGGTGTAGTGCTTAGAGCGTCCGCCCGGAGAGCGGAAGGTCGCGGGTTCGATCCCCGACAGCGGCATACCAAAAGACGTTAAAATATGGTACTTGTTGGACCCTGCCTGGCGCTTGGCATTAATGGGTACAACAAGGACTGGTCGGCTCGGAGTCAGTATAATGTGTCTGAGTGGGGTATTCATGCTTCACTGCGGCATGGTATCTCAGTGGGCTAGCACTATAAAACCAGCTTCAGTCTGGGCTAGTACAAGCAGCCGCACATACACATACACACACATGCACGTCGTCATATGAGCGAAATATTTTCAAGTACGACGTTAAACCCAATTTCACCTCACCTCACTTTCATATTGCAACACTTTGTAACACAACGTTCTTCTATAGAGGGATATCTGGTCACACAATGCTCTTTCATTTTGTCACACATTGCCCATTCTTGTTTTGAAATCTGTAGCACAATGTTTTTTTCTAATTTTGAGACATGTTGTGACACAATGCTGTAACATATTGTGACATGTTTTGACACAATGCTTTAACATATTGTGACATGTTGTGACAAAATGCTGTAACATATTGACATGTTTTGACACAATGCTTTAACATATTGTGACATGTTGTGACACAATGCTGCAACATATTGTGACACAATGCTGTAACATATTGTGACATTTTGTAACACAATGCTTTAATATATTGTGCCATGTTGCTTTAATAATATTGTGACATTTTGTAACACAATGCTTTAATATATTGTGACATGTGACATAATGCTTTCATATATTGTGACATGTTGTGACACAATGCTTTAATATATTGTGACATGTTGTGACATTTTGTAACACGATGCCCTTTCATATGGTATTAATATGTAATGCTGTATTCTTTAATATTGTGATATTTTGTAGTATAGTGACATTACATATTGTAGCTTAATGACAGGGTCTTTAACATGTTGTGAAACAATGCCTTATATCAGATCACACTGACAACCCGTTGCCTACATTTTCTGCAATACTTTGTGACACAAAGCCCTTTCACAGGGTCATGTGATGTATTTCAATGACATGTTGCCCTTTCATGTCATATCCACTTGAACACATCTATCAGTTAAAGCTGACCACGTGAGTGTCTGCATGTCCCCCTGCCTGGCACAAGTCACACACAACACAGCCTCTCATCTCAAGGAGTTCAAAGCAAAAGTATTTCATGATGATCACGTTCCAGCACACATGACAAATATTTCACTGTTCTCTAATGGCCTGGATCTGGGAAAAAGCAGAATAAACACTTCTGATTGATTCCTACAAATGTCACATTCAAAGTACAACCAATTACTGCACACCATTAATTCCACGGATTAATTATTTTCAAGTTATTTACATCACAGTTCCAAGAACACAGTTTCTAAATATCTGGAAGTGTTAGAATGAAGACTGTTACAAGTCCACTGTGGTATCCATGGCAACTCAGGATTCTGGATTCTCAAAGCCACGGAAGAATAAAAACAGTGATGAAAACAGGATCCTTGGATAACTTGGAGGCTCAAATGAATTATTGCATTCAGTTAATCAACGTGGCTGCTTGTGTTAACTAGATGGGGGGTGTCACTGATGGATTTCTAACTTTGCTTCAGCAACAAAATTGATGCTGTGAGGATAGTAGGGACTTCCTGGAGAACTTCCTGTACTGCTACAACAAGCACCGTCTTCAACAGACTGATACTTGTTGGCAAATTATCTGTCCTTGGAAGTTTGACCGAAGTTGTTCCATTATGTACATCAATCTAACAGGACACAATTTCCACACTTAACTATCACATCAATATTAATATAATTAGATTATTGTATAATACTGTATTCTTTTTGGCATAGCCCACACCAATGTATACTCATACCAATAGGTTGTCACCCTCCCCACCCCAACCCCTCACACCTCACACCCCACCCCACACACCCTCTCCAATTAAAAAATTGAAGGGGGTGACAACCATTATTGGCATGAGTATATAATGAACATCTAGGGAATTCAGTATTACATGGAAAAATATTGGAGTATTATAACTGACAAAAAACACCTACAGTGGATTAAATATAACTAGGTAACAGATCTACCACTGTTGCTGTGCACACTGCTAGACATATGTCAAACTCGTCAAAATATCACCAGCTAAGCAGACTTTGTCTATGAGAACTGCCGACATATGCAGATTAGGTCTGTGAGAACTGCTGACTGACACAGATTGTTAGCTGCTCATCTGCCTTTAAAAGCAGGCAGGATGGGGTCCAGCTAGCAGACAGCGAGAGGAGCGCGGACAGACCAGAAGAAATCCAGGGACAGGAAGGGGCGAACTGACCAGCCAGTCCACCAGCAATTCAGAGCTGAAAGTCTAATCTTAAACTTTAAACCACTATGCACTTTAGTTGCAAGAAGTTTAAAATGTACAATACTTAGAGATCATCACTGCTGACAATGTTGGTAGGCAGTTCTGCTGCTGCACTTAAAGTCATAATACTTAGTAATTTGACTGATGACAAAGTTTGCTGGAAATGTCACAAGACAACATTGGATGCCCCATGGTAAGGTCTCTGTTCAACCTACACACGGAACAACTTGAATGGCTACAATATTGTATCTCATCAAAATTCATGGAGGGCTGACAGTTGCATCATCCCCCATCACCTTCTGCTGATGGACCTGGCGTGGCAGGCAGCCACACAAACATTTAGTCACAGAATACAGTAATGATATTTAAAATATATATCTCAACAAAATACAATCCAAATGGAGCACAGACCAATGTTTAATTTCCGGCAATTTAGATTTGACTTAGATTCATTTCTTGATATATTCTCTATTGTGTTGGAGACAGGTTACTTGTAGTCAACTGTTGATGACTGATATGCTCCAAGCTGTCATGGCTGATGACCTTAGCCATACATTCAGCTTTAACAATGAGTACTTTCTCCGGGTATACACTTGGAGTAGAGTTCTTATTGGTACCAATATTGAGGTGCAATATTTCTGACAGCATCAGCAATGAAAACATGGTGATGCCTAAAAGAAACACATCATCTGTATTCTGCACCCAGTCATTCAGCTTGATAAAATACTTTTAAAACTAAATTCTTAAAAAACTATATGTTAATCTTTATCCAAGTCCAGATCTGACTGCACTGTAATACTCTATGTGCCCTTATCAAAATATCAGCTCTTAGAGCATTTTAGGAAATTAATGCCTTTTAGATTCAGATGTTAAAAATGTACAATACTTGGAGATATTAGTATAGTACTTGCTGCCAAATGGGGAGGCCATTACTTCCAATTGGAGACCATACCTTGCTTTTTCTCAATTCCATGTAATGAACAAATCAGTCATATTGTGGTTCTACACATTTTCATACAGTTTCACCTATCTGTTGAATTTGTGGTTTGGGAGAAGAATATTGCCTGATCTTTTATGTTCCCAATTTCCTTAAAACACTACAAAATATATGAGAATCTCAATATGTTTCTATACATGATATCAATGTTGTAACTTCCTAGATTTTAACATATCACAGAAAGTTTTTCATGACTTTTAGGGTGTGCATGATCACAGAAAAAGTTAATTTTCTGTAATGTTATTTTGACAATGTGATTGTTTTTCATAGTTGTAATCTGTTTCACTATGCAATAAATTCTACATGACATTAAATTCCTATGGGAGAAGTGTTTGCATGTTGACATAGAAAAGAATGTATCCTTAATTGACAAATGAGTGTCCTTAGTCCACAAGGAGATTACAATCTTGGAATTAAATGTTGCATGCCTGACTCAGACCTGGTTGTCTTTCCAACCTCACATCTGTATGTGGGGGGACATTAAAATATAAGAAATTCTAAAGAAACTAATTCTGTTTTGACAAGTGTGCAGCATGAAGCTTGAAGCTTCCCACATTGTAAACACATCACAACAAAATACAAGATATTTGGTTTTTCAGACTGCATTCATGGTTTTAGGGTTTGAAGAATCCATTTAAAGAGAATATATTTTTAATGTTCCAATTAATATGCTGCTTTCAAGACAATTAAAATGTTATTGATGTTTCCTAAACAACGCGAGATAAAGCAGTGAAACAGCACTAAATCAATACAGTGTTTCGTTCCTTTCTTAGCAAAATAGTATGTCACAGTATTACCACACATATCACCTTGACACAGACTGTGATAACCCACAAGGACACACACTGATAAGGGGCAACTGTGTACAAACCTGAACACTGTTTGAGAGGGTTTCCAGTGAATTAGGAATATTTGTTGAATGTTTGATTGATCAACTGACAGAAACTCAAACACCTTGCTCTCTCCACCAGTTTGTTTATGCAGGCCATGTGAGGCAGGTGCTTGTCTTAAGAGCTATGACAATGTACACTAATTGTGCACACTTCAGAATCTTGAACATTACCATAATGTTATTCAATCAAGAAATGCATGATTGTACATCTTTATCATATGTAGTGCATGTATATGAAATATTACGACCAAACTCACCGGAGTGTGATACCGATCAAAGTCAAACACAAGTACTTTCATGCAAACATGGAATAATCAGATTTTTAAATCATTCATCCAACTGGCATTTTCACTTTACTTTTACAATATCCACCATTTTACATTTTGAATCACTTGAAAAATATGCCAACTCATAAAAATCAATTCAAAAAAGAAGAAAAACAATATTTACTCACACTCGTTAACCTCCCCTGGAACAGAAGATGTAAACAGGTAGAGTGGAAAGGTATTGATCTCACAAGTTGTTCACAAATATCACAGTAAATCACTAAGTAAGCGTCTCATCCATCAAAACTACTGAAAGTAGCTCTCTCACAAATTGTGTGCATGTGAGAACAACTACCTATCCCAGAACCCCTAGCGGGACTCCATTCCTGTATATCCAAGACGGAGCAATCAAGTCCTCTTACATCATAGCCAAGTCCTAATCTCCAGCTATCACACACTCCCACTGCCATCAGATGGCGCTCAGCATTGTTTTCTAATGATATCAATAAGGCATGTCAGTCTAATCATATACAAGGGATGAATATAATCACACAAACAAATGTCATGTGGAATTATTGATCATGACCTGTTCGCCCAGTGGTCCACACAAGTGAAGGGCGTCCCGGCTAGCCGGTAGTAATGTGTTACAGTGCAGCAAGCTGATTAACCAGTTAGGTAATCAGCTTCTCTACCTGTGCAGGCTGCTACAGATAACCAGTGACAGTATTTATGTATTCAATGTACAATCCCTGCAAACACTATACATATGATGATTGGATATGGAACATACACACAAATACTTCATTTTGTGGGATTCATGATCATACCATTTCAAACTATTTTTTAAATTGAAGTGAATATTTATTCAGACCTACTACATCATTTATCATCAAACACAGTTGCTGAATAAATAACTGAATTACAGTGAAAACTAGTGAAAATAACAAACATTCCTCTGCATATTCAGCTAAGTAAACATATGTCTAGCAAATAATTAATTTCACTAAATAGATAGACTGACTAAACACTAAAGTTCATTAAATATATATGCACTGTAGATATTTACATTAGTATACATTACTTACATTCAGTAAATATATATGTTCAGCATATAATTTAGTTCAGTAAATTTTTTTGCAAGGTAAATAGTTAAATTCAATAGATAAATATATTCAGTAAAAGAATCAGTGAATAAATATGTTCAGTAAAAAAATAAATTCAGTGAGTAAATATAACAAATGAAAAATTAGGTCAAGTAAATGATTAAGTTCAGTAATTACATATGCACAGTAGATTATTAGGTTCAGTAAGCAAATACTTTTATTACCAATTTGATGTCCGTAAATATTTAAAATCAGTAAATAATTAAGTGCAGTAAATGATGAGCAGTGATTCAGCAGCTTCACATCTTAAACTAGGTCAAGAGCTAAAAATATATCCGCATATCTTTTCGTTCAGTTCTTTCAGCAGGTGAGGTAGCTGGTGCGCCTGACCTTGGTTGAGATGCTGGACAGGGGCTCATCAAAGTCACCTGATGCCATTCCTTAACTGGATCCTTACTTGGTAACCATGTGACTCAACTTACAGAAGTTGGTTGGTTGGTTTGTTGCTTAACGCCCCATCTGCAATATTCCAGCTATATGGCGGCAGTCTGTAAATAATGGAGTCTGGACCAGACAATCCAGTGATCAACATCATGAGCATCAATCTATGCAATTGGGATATGATGACATGTGTCAACCAAGTCAGCGAGCCTGACCACCCGATCATATTAGTTAGGACAAGCATGGGTTACTGAAAACCAATTCTAACCCAGATCTTCACGGGTGAAAGATGTTTATCTCTATCAAACTGAGTATTTCTTGAAAAACGCTTTTCGTAATATTTGTCATTACTGTATGGAATGTTCCTTATTGGTGAAATGGCTTGCTCTGATTTTACAAGCACCAGTGCACATGCACTCGCAGCTATCTTTGTTTTTGAATAGTCATGATATCTTGTGGTTGTTTCAAGTGTCGAGGACAATAGTGAGCTTGGTAATTATTTCAGTCTCAAGGTGTATTTGTTCTACCTGTTCACATTGTTCTAGTACATTCTTTCAAAGTGAATGCATTATCTAACAAATACTACATCTTTCCCCATGAAGCTTCTATATTACCTGTTTTTATGGTGATTTTATTCTGGAATATTTGTTTTTATAGTGGAGACCAACATGGCATCAGCATACCTGTCAACGCTCACGCATTTGGCGTGAGTCTCACGCTTTATTGACAAATGTCACGCTCTCACGCCTCCAAATAATAATCTCACGCATATCTGGTAGCCAAAACTAATTTCAAAATTAATACGCATTTTCGTTCGTTTTTGAGTAAAGTTGAACACTGAAAGAACGCCTGAATGAATGAAGTACTAAAACGATGTTTATGCGAATGATTCGGCTTATTATTTATTAGCATGCATCTTTTAGTGTCAAAATAATGACACCAGAAGGCTCCAAATGCTCCTGAAAATCACTAAACTTCATTTTGGGACGGGGCTTCACTTCAGAGACCCCACCAGGGCGCCACCCTCGACATGACTCCGCTGGACCCCGGCTTATTATTTTCAGTCTCACTCCAAACCATCTTAAGGGGTTGACAGCTCTGCATCAGGGGTCGTCTGACACAAGCTTGAAAATCCTGTTACTTTCAGCCAGGATTGGATTCGGCATGTTCAGGAAGTGTTTCTCTAGTGTTCCAACAGGTCAATACAATCATCACACGTACAACAGATCAATACAATCATCACACGCACAACAGATCAATACAATCATCACACGCACGACAGATCAATACAATCATCACACGCACGACAGATCAATACAATCATCACATGCACAACAGATCAATACAATCATCACACGCACAACAGATCAATACAATCATCACACGCACAACAGATCAATACAATCATCACACGCACGACAGATCAATACAATCATCACACGCACGACAGGTCAACACAATCATCACACACACAACAGATCAATACAATCATCACGCGACAACAGATCAATACAATCATCACACGCACAACAGATCAATACAATCATCACACGCACAACAGATCAATACAATCATCACACGCACAACAGGTCAATACAATCATCACACGCACAACAGGTCAATACAATCATCACACGCACAACAGATCAATACAATCATCACACGCACAACAGGTCAATACAATCATCACACGCACAACAGATCAATACAATCATCACACGCACAACAGATCAATACAATCATCACACGCACAACAGATCAATACAATCATCACACGCACAACAGATCAATACAATCATCACACGCACAACAGATCAATACAATCATCACAGGCACGACAGATCAATACAATCATCACACGCACGACAGGTCAACACAATCATCACACGCACAACAGATCAATACAATCATCACACGCACAACAGATCAATACTGCAGCTCTATGATGAACACTTAGAAACCAGAGAGGTGTTCCCTCAAGATGCCTTTAACATCCTGTTTGATTTATCTATGCCCAAACATGAAAGACATTTTTCTACAGTCGATGAAAACACGTCTCTATCAATATACTACATGTGCAAATAATTACCAACCTTGACAAACACAGTGAGTGAGATTTAGATGAACATGACTGGCACAGGCATTGATGTAAACTGGATCTCACTCCTCTATTATTCAGACAAACTGCTATTGACCTTGCTATCATAAACTACTCCTACTGCCACAATAACTACAACTACCTGACAACAGGTAACACTGGCTTCCTCCTACACCAGTAGCAACATCAACGACCACACTGACATTGGCAGTGTTCACAAATCACTGTCGTCTTCACTCTTCAAGGAAATCACCTCTTTATACCAGCCATCAATAATCAGAGTAATGTCTATTTGGGGATGACCAATGATACTGAACACACGCAATCACTTTAATCTGGGAGACAACAGACATTGATCAATAACAGGTAATAGCGAAGGGAAGGTACGTTAAACATTGATGATATAAGGTAGTATATGTGTGTGTGTGTGTGTGTGTGTGTGCGCGGGCGTACGTGCATGCGTGTGTGTGCAGTAGACATACAAATCAAACGGTCAGCTATGGTATAGTGACACAATCAGCTATAATGTAATGACAGGCAGCTATGGTATAGTGACACAATCAGCTATGGTATAATGACAGGCAGCTATGGTACAGTGACACAATCAGCTATGGTATAATGAGAGGCAGCTATGGTATAGTGACACAATCAGCTATGGTATAATGACAGGCAGCTATGGTATAGTGACACAGTCAGCTATGGTATAATGAGAAGCAGCTATGGTATAGTGACACAATCAGCTATGGTATAATGACAGGCAGCTATGGTATAGTGACACAGTCAGCTATGGTATAATGAGAGGCAGCTATGGTTTAGTGACCCAATCAGCTATGGTATAATGACAGGCAGTTTTGGTTTAATTACACAATCAGCTATGGTATAATGACAGGCAGCTATGGTATAGTGAGACACTCAGCTATGGTATTAATGACAGGAAGCTATGGTATAGTGACACAATCAGCTATGGTATAATGACAGGCAGCTATGGTATAGTGACACAATCAGCTATGGTATAATGACAGGCAGTTTTGGTATAATGACACAATCAGCTATGGTATAATGACAGGCAGCTATGGTATAGTGAGACACTCAGCTATGGTATTAATGACAGGAAGCTATGGTATAGTGACACAATCAGCTATGGTATAATGAGAGGCAGCTGTGGTATAGTGACCCAATCAGCTATGGTATAATGACAGGCAGTTTTAGTATAATGACACAATCAGCTATGGTATTAATGACAGGCAGCTATGGTATAGTGAAACACTCAGCTATGGTATTAATGACAGGAAGCTATGGTATATGGACACAATCAGCTATGGTATAACGAGAGGCAGCTATGGTATAGTGACCCAATCAGCTATGGTATAATGACTGGCATTTTTAGTATAATGACACAATCAGCTATGGTATTAATGACAGGCAGCTATGGTATAGTGACACACTCAGCTATGGTATAATGAGAGGCAGTTATGGTACAGCGACACAATCAGCTATGGTATAATGAGAGGCAGTTATGGTATAGTGACACACTCAGCTATGGTATTAATGACAGGCAGTTATGGTATAGCGACACAATCAGCTATGGTATAATGAGAGGCAGTTATGGTATAGTGACACACTCAGCTATGGTATAATGACAGACAGCTATAGTATAGTGAGACGCTCAGCTATGGTATTAATGACAGGCAGCTATGGTATAGTGAGACAATCAGCTATGGTATAATGAGAGGCAGTTATGGTATATTGAGATACTCAGCTATGGTGTAATGACAGGCACCTATGGTATAGTGAGACAATAAGCTATGGTATTAATGACAGGCAGCTATGGTATAGTGAGATACTCAGCTATATAATTTTGATAGGCAGTTATGGTATAGCGACACAATTAGCTATGGTATAATGAGAGGCAGTTATGAT